CCATGGCAATTAGGGCCTGGCAGCAGCTATAGGAGGCCCGAATCTCCCAGCACCCTATGTCAAAAAATTAACACCCCAGCAGTGTGAGGAACCTGAAAGTGGCATATGGCAGGGAACACTGTGGACCGGGCAGCAGCATGGGGAGGCGGTACGGGGGCCCCATGGCAGATTAGGGTGGCAGCACTATAGGACCCCGTAATCTCCCGCCCCTATACAAAAAATGGAAAACACCAGCAGTGTGAGGGGGACCTAAAATGGCACAGGGCAGAGGGGCATGGAGACAGCAAAATGGGAGGCCGTACAGGGCCCCAGAGAGACCTGGACCGGGGCAGCAGCATAGGAGGCGGTATGGGGGGCCCAGGGGAATTAGGGGCCTGGCACAGCTAAGGAGGCCCAAAATCTCCAGCACCCATGACAAAAAAGGAACAACCCCAGCAGTGGAGAGACCTAAAGGGGCACATGGAAGTGTGGGAGGGAGACGCACAAGGAGGCCTACGGGGACCCATGAAGACCTGGACCGGCAGCAGAAAGAGGAGGCGGTATGGGGCCCCCATGGCAGATTGGGGCCTGGCAGCAGCATGGGGGCCCCGTAATCTCCAGCACCCTATGTCAAAAAATTACACACCCATGTGAGGAGAAACCTGAAAGTGGCACTGGCATAGACACGGGACCGGCAGCAGCATGGGGGCGGTACGGGGGCCCAGGCAATTGGGGGCCTGGCACAGCTAGGGGAGGCCCCTAACTGCCAGCACCCTTTGACAAAAAAGGAAACCCACAGTGTGAGGGACCTGAAAGGGCACATGGCAGAGTTCAGGGTCCCAGGTATGACCAAGATGTGTGACGACGCGGGGAAACCAACTTCAGATATGGGATAAACAATACAATATTATTAACACTAACCAACAAACATAAACGCAGTGCAATACTAAAACATAATACAAGTGCCAAACAAACCAACCAAACCAAACAACCCACAGATAACAGGTACAGTACAAGCAAGCGTCGTCAGGCAGAACAAGCCAGGATCAGAGCAGGAGAAGTCAGCAAAGGAACAGAAACAGGATGCAGGACAGACAGATACAGGGCCCAGGACAAACACAACAACACCAAGGCAGAGTCTGCAAGTCTGGCCATCCCTTAAATACCCCAGTATCATCAGTTCCAGGTGTGTTAGCTGGCTGAAAGGTTGAGTCTCTGATTGCTGGGAGCACCCGCTGGCCAGCCCTGGTACTGCAGATCAAAAGGCAGGTGAGTCCCACCATTGCTGGCCAGTCCATTCCCTAACAGTACCCCCCCCCTCAAGGAGCGCCCTCAGGACGCTCCAAACAGTCCTAGCTGGGCAAAATGTTCCACCGCCCGGGTCTGGTAACTGGCGGGATATCAAAGACTGGCACACCGGGCAGGACTCCGGGCAGCGGCACACCGGGCTGGGCTGGACTCCGGGCAGAGGCACACCGGGCTGGACTCCGGGCAGAGGCACACCGGGCTGGACTCCGGGCAGAGGCACATCGGGGCTGGACTCCGGGCAGAGGCACATCGAGCAGAGGCACACCGGGCAGAGGCACACTCGGGCAGAGGCACACCGGCAGGACTCCGGGCAGAGGCACATCGGCAGAGGCACACCGGGCAGAGGCACATCCGGGCAGAGGCACACCGGGCAGAGGCACATCGGGCAGAGGCACATCGGGCAGAGGCACATCGGGCAGAGGCACATCGGGGCAGGACTCCGGCAGAGGGCAGGACTCCGGGCAGAGGCACATCGGGCAGGACTCCGGGCAGAGGCACATCGGGCAGGACTCCGGGCAGAGGCACATCGAGCAGGAGCACCCGGGCAGAGGCACATCGGGCAGGCAGAGGCACCGGGGGCAGAGGCACCAGGCGGGAGGCACATCGGGCAGGACTCCGGGCAGAGGCACATCGGGCAGGACTCCGGGCAGAGGCAGAGGCACATCGGGCAGGACTCCGGGCAGAGGCACATCGGGGGACTCCAGGCGGGCAGCAGCAGGCACCGGCCCGGGGGAGCAGCAGGCACCGGGCCCCCGGGCGGAGCAGCAGGCACCGGGCCCCCGGGCGGAGCAGCAGGCACGGGCCCCCGGGCGGAGCAGCAGGCACCGGGCCCCCGGGCGGAGCAGCAGGCACCGGGCCCCCGGGCGGAGCAGCAGGCACCGGGCCCCCGGGCGGGGCAGCAGGCAGGCACCGGGCCCCGGGCGGAGCGGAGCAGCAGGCACCGGGCCCCCGGGCGGGGCAGCAGGCACCGGGCCCCCGGGCGGAGCAGCAGGCACCGGGCCCCCGGGCGGAGCAGCAGGCACCGGCCCCCCGGGCGGGCAGCAGGCACCGGGCACCCCCCGGGCGGAGCAGCAGGCACCGGGCCCCGCGGGCGGGAGCAGCAGGCACCGGCCCCCCCGGGCGGGAGCAGCAGGCACGGGCCCCCCCCCAGGCACCGGGGGGCGGAGCAGCAGGCACCGGGCCCCCGGGCGGGCAGCAGCAGGCACCGGGCCCCCGGGCGGGCGCAGGCACCGGGCACCGGGCGGGGCCCGGGCCGGGCCCCCGGCGGAGCAGCAGGCACGGGCCCCCGGGGAGCAGCAGGCACCGGGCCCCCCCGGGCGGGGCGACAGGCACCGGGCCCCCCCCAGGCGGGGCGACAGGCATCGGCCCCCAGGCGGGGCGACAGGCACCGTGCCCCCCAGGCGGGGCGACAGGCATCGTGCCCCCAGGCGGGGCGAGGCAGGCGGCGGGGCGACAGGCATCGTGCCCCCAGGCGGGGCGACAGGTCTCGGGCCCCCAGGCGGAGCGGCGGGCGCCGGACCCCCAGGCGGGAGCGACAGGTCTCGGCCCCCAGGCGGAGCGCGGGCGGGCGCCGGCCCCCAGGCGGAGCGACAGGTCTCGGGCCCTCAGGCGGAGCGGCGGGCGCCGGACCCCCAGGCGGAGCGACAGGTCTCGGGCCCTCAGGCGGAGCGGCGGGCGCCGGACCCCCAGGCGGAGCGACAGGTCTCAGGCCCTCGGGCCCTCAGGCGGAGCGGCGGGCGCCGGACCCCCAGGTGGAGCGACAGGTCTCGGGCCCTCAGGCGGAGCGGCGGGCGCCGGACCCCCAGGCGGAGCGACAGGTCTCGGGCCCTCAGGCGGAGCGGCGGGCGCCCGGACCCCCAGGAGGAGCGACAGGTCTCGGGCCCTCAGGCGGAGCGGCGGGCGCCGGACCCCCAGGCGGAGCGACAGGTCTCGGGCCCTCAGGCGGAGCGAGCGGGCGGGCGCCGGACCCCCCCCCAGGAGGAGCGACAGGTCTCGGGCCCTCAGGCGGGCGGAGCGGCGGGCGCCGGACCCCCAGGATGGAGCGACAGGTCTCGGGCCCTCAGGCGGAGCGGCGGGCGCCGGACCCCCAGGTGGAGCGACAGGTCTCTCGGCCCTCAGGCGGAGCGACAGGTCTCGGGCCCTCAGGCGGAGCGGCGGGCGCCGGAGCCCCAGGCGGAGCGACAGGTCTCGGACCCTCAGGCGGAGCGGCGGGCGCCGGACCCCCCCAGATGGAGCGACAGGTCTCGGGCCCTCAGGCGGAGCGGCGGGCGCCGGACCCCCAGGTGGAGCGACAGGTCTCGGACCCTCAGGCGGAGTGGCGGGTGCGCCGGACCCCCAGGCGGAACGACAGGTCTCAGGCCCCCAGGCGGGGCGGCGGGCACCGAGTCACCAGGCACAACCGTGGGCTCCGAGTCAACTGGGATGACCGCTGGCACTGGGTCAGACATTGGATCGTCTGGCTGGACAGCGGTCATCGGGTCACCAGGCATCAGGTCATTTGGCTCGACAGCGGGCACCGCGTCATCTGGCAAGGCAGTGGGCTCCGAGTCAACTGGTATGACCGCGGGCACTGGGTCAGACATTGGATCGTCTGGCTGGACAGCGGGCACTGGGTCACCAGGCATCAGGTCATTTGGCTTGACAGCGGGCACCGCGTCATCTGGCAAGGCAGTGGGCTCCGAGTCAACAGGCACGACAGTGAGCACCGGGTCATCAGGTACCGGATTGTCTGGCTCGACAGCGGGCACCGCGTCATCTGGCAAGGCAGTGGGCTCCGAGTCAACTGGTATGACCGCGGGCACTGGGTCAGACATTGGATCGTCTGGCTGGACAGCGGGCACTGGGTCACCAGGCATCAGGTCATTTGGCTTGACAGCGGGCACCGCGTCATCTGGCAAGGCAGTGGGCTCCGAGTCAACAGGCACGACAGTGAGCACCGGGTCATCAGGTACCGGATTGTCTGGCTCGACAGCGGGCATCGGGTCACCAGGTATGACAGCGGGCACTGGGTCACCAGGCATCAGGTCATTTGGCTCTCGACAGCGGGCACCGGATCAGGTACCGGATCATCTGGATCAACAGCGGGCATCGAGTCAACTGGCCTAATAGGATCGTCAGGCTGGATCAGTTCATCATGCTGGGTAGAGGCATCAGGCCGAGTAGAGGCTTCAGGCCGAGTAGAGGCTTCAGGCCGAGTAGAGGCTTCAGGCCGAGTAGAGGCATCAGGCCGAGTAGAGGCTTCAGGCCGAGTAGAGGCTTCAGGCCGAGTAGAGGCTTCAGGCCGAGTAGAGGCTTCAGGCCGAGTAGAGGCATCAGGCCGAGTAGAGCATCAGGCAGGCTTCAGGCCGAGTAGAGTATCAGGCGAGCATCAGGGGCCGAGTAGAGGCATCAGGCTGAAGAGAGGCATCAGGCTGCGTACAGGCATCAGGCTGAAGAGAGGCATCAGGCTGCGTACCGGCATCAGGCTGAAGAGAGGCTTCAGGCTGAACCACGGAAGGCAGGCTCACCGGTTTGGATACTGGCAGGATGGTATTGGTTGGAAAGAATTTTCGCTTTTTTCTGGTTTTAACTACTGGAGCACTGCAAGTAAACGCAGGTCTGCAAACGAATGGAGCAGCTGGAGACAGAGAAGAACTGGAGGATGGAACAGGAGAGGGAGCGGTTGCTACAGAGGGCTTTTTTACAGGGTAAAGGCAGGATAGGTGCAGCGAGTGGGAACAGGGTACTGACATGCGGTAGATAGCAGGGCAGGAGGAGCTGTTGGGAATGCAGGAATAGAGTTTTGAGGAAATAGATTAGAAGCAGGACTGGGTCTTTGTAAGCTGACTGAGGCTGGGTGCAACAAATCTGTCCATGTCTGCAGTATGGGTTGAACAAAGCTGAGCTTACACAAAGCCTGTCTGGTCAATGACTGCACTGCGTTTATACAGTCTCTTAGTACCTGTGGTGAACATGTGGAATAACGCTCCAGAAAGTAACCCACATCATCCTCTAATAACCACACCAGGGACTCTACCTGGTCTGCACTAAATGGTGGCAAAAATTCATCCCTGCATTCGGGGGAACCAGATGAAACCAATTCAGCACAAACTTCAATCAAAGGCTGCACCTCAGAGAACTCTATGCCCTGATCTACTAGAACATGAGCGAGCCGTATACATTCTAGCAGTTCATCCCGGGTATACTCCTTCAGAGTCTGATAAGCATACTCCCTGTCATCAAACACTAGCAGATATAAATATTCAACCTCATCCAGATCCATCCTTCTCATCAACAAGCCAAGATGGCTTCCCTGTGCAGCCACTTCTGGTCAGGATTGGCCTTGGTGTAATGTCAGGGCTCCCAGGTATGACCAGAGGTGTGTGACTGATGCAGGGAAACGCAGACTTCAGATATGTGATAAACAATACAATTTATTAACACTAACAATACAAACATAAATGCAGTGCAATACTAAAACATAACACAGTGCAAACAAACCAAACCAACCACCCACAGATAACAGTATATACAAGCAAGCGTCGTCAGGCAGGCCGGGTCAATATCAATGGGCAGGTAGGTACAGGGGGAGCAAGCAGAGAATGGTCGGGGTCACAGGCCAGGTTCAGCAGGTAGCAAGCAGCGTAGTACAGAGGGTCAGACAGAAGGATGGTCAGGGTCACAAGCCAGGATCAGAGCAGGAGAAGTCAGCAAAGGAACAGAAACAGGATGCAGGACAGATACAGGGCCCAGGACAAACACAACACCAAGGCAGAGTCTGCAAGTCTGGCCATCCCTTAAATACCCCAGTATCATCAGTTCCAGGTGTTAGCTGGCTGAAAGGTTGAGTCTCTGATTGCTGGGGAGCACACCCGCTGGCCAGCCTGGTACTGCAGATCAAAAGGCAGGTGAGTCCCACCATTGCTGGCCAGAATCCATTCCTAACAGCAGGCGAACAGTTTGATGGGTCACTCGCCTTGTCTCGGACGCACACGCACAGGAAAGCAGAAAAAATAGATCCGTGAAACCGTTTAGCATACACTCTCATAATTCATATCTAATCAATCCTCAGACTTGGTCTGCATAATAATCTACCTGCGGGCGGGATGTCACTTGTGCATAGGAAAAGTTATAAGCCAAATATGAGTTATGGGAGATTTTTGCTCTAGTTGAGGCATCCGTCCTAAATGCTTGTAAACCTCTGACTACTCCTTCTGTAGTGTGTTCTTGTCTCTGTTTTCTGCTCACTGAAGCACTGGGCTGTGCAGGGAGAGGGAGCGGCTGGCTCAGGCTCTCCGCAGCTCGATGAGAGGATGAGTCAGGTGCCACAACAAACTCTGGGGTGGATCCCGACTTTAAAGTTGTGATCTTCCCCAGCCTGGACTTGCTGAGTGACAGCAGTCGACAGCGGGCTTCAGCTTGCTGTCAGCTAAACACAGGTCACAAGAGCAAGAGCAAACTGCACTGCTGTGATCTACAAGATAAGTACAGCCAAAAAAGCTTTGGCTGTACTCCATTAAATTAAGCAGGGCAAGTGTGTTTCTTTCCAACTCAGTTTCAGCTTTCAAAACCAAGTGTCCTTTACTTCCTTCTTTATATATATACTAATATTGCCAAATGTATTGGGACTCCCCTCCAAATCATTAGATTCAGGGTGTTTCAATCACCTCCACTCCATGGCCACAGGGTATATCAATCAAGCACCTAGGCATGCAGACTGCTTCTAACAAACATTTGTGAAAGAATGGGTCGCTCTCAAAGGAGCTCACAATGACTCCAAGCTTGGTACCGTGATATGGTGTGCCATCTGTAGCAATAAGACCATCCTGTGATATTTTCTTTGCTACTTAATATTCCATGGTCAACTGTTAGATGGTATTATAAAAAAAAGTAGAAGCAACTGGGAACAACAGCAGCTCAGCCACAAAAAATGACAGAGCAGGGTCAGCGCTGCTGAAGTTGCACAGAAGTTGCCAACTGTCTGCAGAGTCACTGTCCTTCCTGGAAGAATAGGTCAAAAAACATTCCCCATGGACACACTCCTAAACCTTGTGGGACAGCCTTCCCAGAAGATTGAAGCTGTTATAGCTGCTACAGGGTGGGCCAACTCAATATTGAACCTTACGGACTAAGACTGGGATGCCATTAAAGTGGAAAACAAAAGAAAACAAACAGAGAAGTCGTACTGGCCCTGGGCATTAATCGTAAAAAAAAAATATTTATTGGAAGGCTAAAAAGTAAGTATCGTTACTCACAATTGACATACAGGTCAAAAGGCATCACAAATCACACTAAACAGCGTTGTCCAATCCACACTGCATATAAGACCTTAAAATGGAACCCTTGGATTTCCAACAGTGTGTTTTGAGGTGACTCAACCTCTTCCTCAGAAGTTATAATATTTGAGGCCTCATTTGGCTCTGGAGGAAGAAGGCTGCGTCCTCAAAACGTGCTACCCTGTTTGAAGTCCAAGTCTTTGTATCAGGTGAACATTGGACTATGCCTGGTCCAATTGAGGGCAAGCAAGGAAGTGCAATCTTTTCCAGGACACTCCGAGTGTTCTAACCCAATACCATGAGCACACTTACTGAGTCCAACCCCAAGAGGCAGGAGTACAGAGACATGCAAGTGTTTTCAATTCCATTAAATTTCTTGTGCGTGTAATGGCAGGATGTCCAGAGATGGAATTGACAACTCATGGGGCAAATAGGGGACATCATGAGTGGGCGACCAATGTGTATTTGCCCAAACCAAAAAAACTATGAAAAAACGGTACATAGGTGGTCACACATGGGGACCTCCATACTGATACAGTGCCCGAGTTTACCCCAAAATGGTCAGAATACACGTCCCTGCAGGTGTCCCAATATAAATGTACATGTACTCTAAACTCCTTTACATCATGGCTACCAAAAGCAGAATCGAAGCCTTACTATAATAACAAACCATAGGGATACAATCACACATACAACATTGGTCCTAGTTAATACTTTAACTACTTCAATACAGAACGGAAGTTACTGAAAAATTATGACTCAGAGAGTCAGTCCAGATTTCCAAGGTAGCATAGAATAGATTGAAAATCAAAGATCCAGCCCCAAACTCCCATCCCCCCCAAGATAAAGCCTTGTGAAAGTTTTTCCTTTTCCCCCTTTAGCCTTCTTCTCTTTCCCTCCTAGTTCAATCTCTGCAACAGTAAAGGCAAGTCTTCTTCTTTCCTGCAAAGCTCTGTGCTTTAAGACAGCAAGTTGGATCATATTGCTGCACTATCATTACCTTCTAGTTTCTCTTAAATAAATCTTATATCTCCTTTATAAACCTCAAAAAAAAAAATATTCCCGTTTTCTAACACAAATAATAAAAAAAAAAAAAAAATAATTTAAAAAAAAAAAAATGTTTCTTATAAACGAAAATAAAAACTTCTTACATATAATAAAAAAATTAAAAAAAAAGCCCAATAAAAAAAATAAAATAGACCTTCGGATCATCAATAAATTATAATTAAAATATAAATTATTAAATAACCTGTTACGCAAAAAAAAAAAATAAAATAAATAAACAAACAATCTCGTTTTGGCAAATTGTAACAGAACTTATAAAATCCAAGCTTAGAATCATGCATAAGACGTTAATGGCTAAAAATGCTTGCGCACTGCAAGTGCTGATACTTGCCCCACATAAACCATCTAAAACAAAAAAATCAAAAACTTCAACTGTGGTAAGACGACTCAGTCTATGTATATCTTCGTTATATATTAATCCGGAACCTGCATTCTCTAGACCACACTTATAACTTTAACTCAATCAGGGGAAATCCCTGACTGTATATCCACTCTATCACTAAATCCTACGCAATCTCATAAAAGGCCACAATCATATCATCTCATTCTAATTTGACTGCTGCCGAAGATAATGTTCCTGTCAGCTGATAACTCTCTACCGTTTACTCATCTGATCCTATAACTGCTCAAGTCTACTGTCTTTACTGGCCTAACAAAACTGCTGCTGCCGGTCATCTGACACTTCAAACTATCATCATCTGCGTGCCTGCTATTAAAAACTCATCTGGAGACTAATCACCCAATGTAGATTAGGTGCTGATAGAACATCATCTTCTCTGACCATCAGGAGGCCTCTTTAGACTTTGAACAAGAAAACAAAAATCATGCTAGTACCCAGTTTGGACCTACCTTTTTGGTTACAGTGCCAGCCTTCAGAACTTAACTGC